GACTGAGAGGGGATCTGGTGGCCATCTATAAACTCACTGGGGGGACCAGTGGAAAATAAGTGATGCTGTGTTCCCCTGGGCACCACCTGGGATAACAAGGAATAACGGCAACAAATTGACTGAGAGCAGGTTCAGACTTGATATCAGGAGGCACTACTTTATGGTTAGGGTTGCCAGGTTCTGGAATGAGTTCCCAAGGGAGGTGGTGCACTCCCCTACCTTGGGGGTCTTCAAGAGGAGGTTGGATAGATATCTGACTGGGGTATTATGATCCCAGCACTTGTTCCTGCCCAGGGCAGGGAGTCAGACATGATGATCTGTTCACATCCCTTCCGACCCTAGAAACTATAATACTCTTTTGCCAGTAACAGAATTTATTGTTCTAATGCAGGGGTTGGCAACTCCCGGCATGCGTGCTGAGCATGGCATGCAAGGCCATTTTGCTCGGCACACCACTGCCAGCCCGAGCTCCAAACAGCTGCTGCCAGCCACGGAGCCCAGGCTGCTCCCAGCAGGCGGCTGGGAGTCTGCAAGCCCTGTTGCAAGCAGACTGGGCTCCATGGACTGGCTTCAGGCAGCTGCTCCAGGCTCCAGCATGTAGGCACTCTGTCACCTTCTGAGGTAGACATTGTGGGTTTTTTGGCTCTCCGGCCAAAAAACGTTGCCTACCCCTGTTCTAATGTAATGGTAAATCCTTGTTTTGAAGCTTTCTCATTTAATTCTACACACTCTTTGACCGCTCACACCTTTTTAAAACAGTCAACAGGAAAAGAATGCTGTGTATTGGCTTTTAGCACATCTGTGTTTTTTGATTTTTTTTGCATTACATAAACAGTCTGCTGTGTTTTTATTACCACATTGCTTTAAGGATTTGAGCCCAAGCTTTCCAAGATAGGAATGATGTTTAAAATCAGTTTTCTGATTGAAGGAAAACTACTAAAACAGAGTACTTGCTGGAAAGAATACTGACATAGGTGCTATCATCAGAGTATTTATGTGACTGTTTCAAAACTCAAATTGATGTTAATGTATGGTTTTATTTTTTTTAATTTTAAAGAATGAATTACATTCCTGTTAGAAATAGGTCTCGTCATGCTGTACCACACTGCTACAATCAATTTTTCTGCTCTCCATTCCTGAAGGGTCTTCCTTTTTTCTGCTTTAGCATGTATTCTCTTATGACAAGCCTTGTATGTCCCTTATGATCTTAGTTTTGCTTGTTTAGTAAATAGACAGCAGGTATATTTCTCAGTTTTTGTCAAAATACATCTTATTCCTTCTTAAACTAAGATACTCAGTTAAGGAATCCCGTCCACAGTACTGATATTTCATGTCATTTTTTTACATCTGAATGGAATGTTTTTCATAAGTTGTTTGAATACACATAAGCATTCATCATTATTGTTTTGATAAAGCACTGTGTTGTTTTGATAAAGCACTGCCTGTCCTTAATGCTGCATTGTTAGGCTGGAACTCAGCTTTAACACCTTCCTTAGAATGCTATTTTTTTTCAGTTTCTAAAATCAGTTACTGCCAGCTACAGCTTAGCCCTTGATCTCTGGCTACACTAGAGATCTTTACAAATAGCATACATATACAGTACTTTTTTGGAGAGGAACCATTAAAATAAAGCTTGTAGTTCCAGTAAGATAAAGGGTGCAGATTATGCTTTCATTGCACAAGTTCAAAATTTGACTTGTGCAAAGTGCTGTTTCTTATGAAATAATGTACTCAAATTGTAAAGTTTAGCTACTACACTTGCCTTCTAAAGTAAAACTGTAGTGGAAAATTTAAATCCCTTAACGTAAAAGATGGGAAAGACTGTTGTAGTGTCAGAATTTGCTTTTTATAGAATCGATATAATTGACTGTCAATGCAAAGAGTAATTTGTGATACAGTTGTATGTTCTCTGACCTCTGATCTGCAGAGAGACTCAGCTATTATAAATTATGTTAGATAAGAATATAAGAAGGCGTATACTGGGGTCAGACCAATGATCCATCTAGCCCAGTGGCAAAAAGTAAATTTTTTTAGAGCAGAGCTATCCAGCTGGCTGCTGACAGGCTGCATGTTGAATTGCGGCCCCTAGGCTCCTGCCTGAGTGGTCTGGCTGCTGCTCCCTCTAGTGCTCCATCTGCAACAGCGTCTGGAGTCCCTAGGCTCCCTCCCCATCCTTCAGCGTTTGATGCCTGCCCCTGCCTCAGAGAGGAGGGCAGTACAGCGTGGCTGGGGGAGCACAGGGAGAGCCTGGACAGTGAGGGGGCATGTGCAGTGCAGCAGTGGGAATGGAAGGGCCCATGTGGGCATGCAGTGCAGTGTGTATGTTGGGGTGGGAGGGGTGGTGTTTGTGCAGCATGTGACCCATAGGGCCTGTGGCTTGCCCTGATGCTGTCCACTAGTGTGGCTTGCAGGATGTTCAGTCCCCAGCTGCTTAGCAGTTGCACAGCTTTGCTTTAGAGGGAAGGTATATGAATGGGATGTGTCTAGACTAGTGATACCTCTGTCAGTCCTTCTCTGGCATCAACCATTATTGGTTTAGGGATGTCAGGATACATCCTTGAGTTCAGCTTAATAGATCCCAATGTGCCTGTTCTACATACTATATTGTCTATATAATTATCTCAGGATTAGCATTTGGCTTTCAAAACCTGTTCTCTTATGTCGTCTAGCTCCCTTGCCCTCTTTTATTTTCTGTACTCAACAGGAAAAATTTGAGAGGGCAAGAGAAGGGGGAAGGAGACTTCTCCAAAGCAAAGAGAAAGTTTTCTTGAATGGAATATTTTTAGCTTCTGTAGAATCCAAGCCATCCATTGAAGAAAATATATGTGTGTATATATATATATCCTTTGTTAGGGTAGAAAACAGTCTTTCTTTAAAAATTTCCTTTTTTTTTCCATCTTAAAGGAATAGGTAAATTAGGGGTTTGCAGTGAAGTAAAGTTAGTGGTGGCAAACCACTGTAAATGAGAGAAGAACATCAAGCCTATGAGCTCTTAACTTGTAGAAGCATCTCCTTCATGTCCAGACCAATGGAGATGAAGAAATTTACAATAATGCGCACAGATCTGGGGGGCACATGCTTCCCCTGGGGGTGCATGCAGCAGTGGCATCCACCCCCTCCCTGCCCCCCAACAAACTGCCTGCAGCGCTGTCCCATGCCCTGCCCTGCCCCAGCTATGTAGCGCCTGCCCTTGCCCCAGTCCCAGCTCCAACCCCACTCCCTCCCTTATCACAGGGGCCTTGATCTGCATCCCCATGTCCCTTCCCTCCCTCGTGCCCTTTGCCCCCAATAGACTTATCAGCCGGACGCTGCTTTCCACGCTGCCAAGCTGCATATCAGCAGTCGGATTCTTATCAGCTGATATGGCTGGTCAATAATCAGCTATCGGTATCAGCCCAAAAATTCTTTATCAATGTGCCCCTACTTTTTGTGAACTTAATTCTAAATAATAAATGTCCAGAAGAAAGTGCTGAACTGTTACTTTCTGCTAACAGCTAGACATTCCAAACCAAAATTTTCGCCTCTAAAATTTCTGAGAAAGATGTGTTGTCTCCTGGTATTTGAATTTCATATTTGAGGCTGTATCTATCATCTGAGCCTGTGAATGTGCATATATACCACTGTCTTCTACTAAGCAGAATCAGAACTGCGTCCAGTTGCTTGACATCAGAACTGTGTTTGTTAAACATTAACCACAGCCTTCAGATCAAGTTGTTTGGGCTTCTAGTATTGGAGTACAAAAAATTCTTTGAAGTGCTTTTGCCTTCTGTGGGGTAGTGCAATAGAAGTGGCTATAGTTAATGTAACCATTTTGGGGGAATCTTAGGGGCAGAGTAACAATTCTCTTTTGATATGGGGATAGTCTGTGCATCATACTTCAACCTTCTGTTCTGAATATGGATTTAATTTGCTTTCTCCTATGCTGAAGTTATAAAAAGATATCTTAGCCTTACTCAATGAGAAGTTAAGCTTTTTCTGGAAGACTGGCATATCTAGAAATAAGTCAAATCTTTGAGCTATGTATTAAGAGTAAACGCTGATTAATTGAAAGAAGCATCCTGCATTTAGTCTGTATTAGAACTCTTGTTTTTCCCATCTCTGGTGGAGAGCGATGAAACTTGAGAAAAAACTTTCTTTAAGGATTTGGCATTCCAGCTTTCTCCACTTCACAAACAGCTCAAATTTGAGCAAAATTGAGCCCTCTTGGGTTTCAAACTTCTGCTGAAGTCTTTACAAAAATCTGAAGAAAAACTGACTCTGCATTTGGTTGCCAAAATTAAATAAAAATGAATATAACTGTTTAACACTGTTTAAGAAAAAAAAAGCAGCGGCCACTTTGGAAGCTTTTACTCTCCTGCCCAGCAAGGAGAAGGGGCAGAGTCTAGTATTAACCCTCTCATAGCTGGTAAGGAATTTGCAGTAGCTATTGGCTGATCACTGTGGCTTGTGCCTGAAGCAGTGATTGAGCTGGCTCAGTGCAAATGAGCTGCTGCATGCAGTCTGGTATTTTGATATGGCTTGTGGTATAGAAAGAGCACTTGATTTACAGGAACTTCTATACAAAACAATTTACAGTAAAGAAATAAGTCTTGTGCCTGCTCTTGCAAAGGTCTAGGGCTTTGCTGTCTTGCCACACTAAGAAGATCCTGCTGCCTCACCCAGGCTGTCTTTTGGGATGCCACAGTTTTTGGACTCTATCACACTGTCACACACTCTGGGGAAAAAACATTTTTTCCCCCTCCCATATGCTGCTTTCCAAAGACAAGGTGCACACATCACACCCTCCCAAATAAGACATATGCTTTGTCTTTGGAAGATGGCACATGGGGGAAAAAGATTTTTCCAGCGTTACGGTTGACTGTGTAACAGAGTAAGCTCTCCTGCAAAGAGAGTATCCAGAAAGTGTGGCATCCCAGGAGATTGTCTAGGTAAGGCAGTCTGGGTGTTGGCTTTTAAATATTAGTTTATTACAGTATCTTTATTTTGTATTTGTCTCTTAGGGTGTTGGTCTGTCAGTCCATGGACATTTCAGGGTAGCTACTGAGAAGACACTTTTTGCAATGCCAGAGACCGCAATAGGTAAATATTTTACATCCTATCTTTTACTGTTTCACATTATATTACGTTTGTTTATGTGATTTGTGACAGGATATATTTCATTAAAAGAAGGTTAACAAGACACTAAAGTATATATATATATTTTTTGGGGATAAATTTTGTTCTGTAGACAGGAGGGCTAATCCTAATGGTACTCGTACCAGCACATATGCGTTCTTCATCTCTATAGAGCTTATCAGAATAAAATATTTTTGTGTTGAAGTAAGGAATGGGTAGCACTAATTATGGAATCAGGCATAAGTACAAAGATACCAATATAACTGTGCCAGTGCACTTGAATTCAGAATTGCTGCTAAAACTCACTGAAATAGATTATCTTGTTTTTGTGGTGTAAGACAAAGCTAAAAGCTAAATGGCCCCTTAACCTACCACACTGCCTATTTTGTGCCATATTGACCGATTTGGACCTAGTGTAAAAAGATGTAGGTTCGTTAATACAGTAGTGCTAGTTTATGTCAGGTTTTAATTTGCCCTAATTAGTTCATTTTGCTAAGCATATGTTCAGTCAAGATGGTCTATTATACTTCCTTTGGTACTGAATCTGTGTAAAAGTCACTGATATCATTAACTTAAGCATCTTATTGGCACCAAGAAGGCATGCTACCAGTTTGGTCAAGTCAACATCACAAGTGAATGGATGGAATTCGAGGACTTATGCATACTCCTGTACCAGTAGGGAATCCGAATAATACAAACCTTTGATAAAAACAGCTGCTATAAACCATTGAATTGTAATTCTTTGTTAGTCTGCCCAATTGTGGCCTGTTGTGGCAAAGTACTGTATGTCTTCAGTTCTTGTTGATTCCTAAGCTAATAGTAGGTGCTTAGCAGCTTGGATGGTGAGATAAAAACAGATGCAAAATAATATCTGTATTCATTACTGGCACTGATTGTTGCATGATAGCTTGCATTTTTCCAGGATGACTCCTAAAGAGTTTAATGAAATAATGGGCACATTTTTTATGACATGTACAAGGAGTTGGTAACAGATTAGCAGATGCTTTTAAAATGATTGATCAGTTGTTCTAGTCTATCAGAGCAGCAGACTGCTTACAATATTGGCTTCTTATTTTCTATGACTGTGGTTATGACCATAAGAGTCGAATACTCCTACTCTGTCATATCACTAACATGCTTATATAATATCTATTAACAATTTATGAATTAAATCTTTAATATTAATGTTTGACCAAAATAAATTGTTACAGGTCAGTGCAAGTTATGTGAGATTAATATTTTAAAAATCTTAAACATCTCAGTAAATGTTTTTTACGTTTTCCGAAATGAAACTAAATTTTCCTTATGAAAATTGGTAATCAATAATTAATTTATTTTTTAAACTAAATTGATGCATGTATTTTATTTTTCTGTGAACTTTAAGAAGGTTGGAGAAAATGAAAAATATGACATTTTGTCCCCATCCAATCTCTTGTGTTCCTCATTTCATTCTGGAGTGTTTTATGAAGTAATTCTAAAATTCCCATTCATAAATTGTCCATGAAAATAGCAGAGCCCTTTCTTAGAGCTATAATCCTAGCCCTCCAGTTTTTTACCTGATGATGATGATGATGATGATTAGCTCATGCTTGGGGAAAAAAGAACTTGAGAATCCAGACTTGTTTCAGTTTTACCATTGACTTACTATGTGACTGTATGAAACTAACTTTACTTAGTTTTTAGTTGTTATTTCATAGAAGTTTAAATCTCTTGAAGATGTTTAGATCAAAGATAATGCATTAATGTATCTGTTATGGATATTTCCCTTTAGATTTTGGGATGAGGTAGGGGTAGTCTTTGATTTTTTTCCCAGGTACAGCTGGTGTTCCTGGCAGATTTTAGCTTTTTGCTTTGGTAAAAAATGTCCAATCAATATTACAGTTTTTAGAGTTAAGAATTTCTAATTGGTATGGATCATATATACCTTGAAGGTTTCAGTTTATTTGGAGATAGTTAACTAAATATACAGACAATAATGTGAAACTCTATTAGTATTAGTTTTATGTAAGTATTAGTCACTTACATAAATACTTTCCAGAGCAGCACATTTTTTGTATTTTTTGGCTTTTTGTTTGTTTTTTATGAGGTATAATTTTTAACAGTCAAAATAGGATGGCAAGATATTATGAGTAATATGAAATGCCTAAGGCAAATGGTGATTGGTTGTAGCCCTTCTGAACGTGCTTCAGTGTGCACACCCCTATTCCGTGCAAGAACAGATTTAATGAATAGTCTCACGTGCTTTGAGTCTGTTTAGGCTCCCGTACAGGAGCAGAAATGGCAGGCAGGCATAACCCTCTCCCAATTCCCTTACCACATACATCTCTATTGCCTTGGGTGTAAAAGCTGGCCCCTAAATCTTCTTGTATCAAAGTGCAGGGAATTCCAGGACTAACGTCAGTGCAGTTCCAAGACTTCAATAAAAGTCTTGAAAGGAGGACATCAGACTTCCCTCCTTAAAAGGCAAAGAAACTAAGTAGTACAACAGAGTGAGAACTGGACCACTTTTGGTCAAAGGATGCATCCATTATTGCCTTTGGGGACATTCTTGGTAAAAGGAGATGACTGTTACAAAAAGTAATACTGCCTGATAAAAAGGAAGTATGCTTCTCATTAAAAGAGTATTCCATCTGTCAGTCAGGTCCCTCTTGTGTCTTCATATGGGACCATGAGGAGACACAGGGGCTGTATGGTTCTGATAGGCATACTATTAGAAAAAAACTTGATCTCACTCTGATCTCATTTCTTTCTCTCCTCTTCCCCTGCTCCAAGGCTGTACGCCATGCATGTGAGTAGGCAGGTGCTCCCCAACCTGGTGCACTGCATGCTGGCAAGCAGGCACCAACCCCCACTTGCTGCCCCTGTGCAGCCCAGCACCTTGTCACACCTGCTGCTCCCTGCAGGCTCTGTTATGGTACTATGACACAGGCACTCCAGGCTGCTGGCTTCCTGGCACCATGGGCTGTTGTGCTGCACTGCTCTGCCCACTGGGGCTGTCTGTCAGGCAGAGGAAGCTGGGCAGGGAGAGGGAGCCTGAGGATCCTAGTGGCTGTAAGTGAAGTAAAGGGCAGTGGCAGTGAGCAGAGAGCCTGAGGGCTGCATGTTAACCCTCTGCAGGCATCATGTGGCCCACAGGCCACTAATTGTACAGCCCTGTTCTAAACAACCATCTTATCAACAGCAAGAGACTATGGAAAACATCAGCTTACTATTAGCGAGCAGCCATTTAGCTCGGTTAGAGCATGGTGCTAATAACTCCACAGTCATCCAACTGAGATCAAACCCATTAGGTGATCTCTTGAAGTCCCATCCAGGCTCTCTCTGAGAATAAGTATGGGAGGCAAAATGAAAGTTGTAACAATTCAGTTTTGATGTAGATACTTTTTAGGTAAATTGTAGTACAATAATACTCTGGTATTTGAAGATTCTGATGTTTATGAGCATTTAGATTTTTGTAGGAATTCTTATATCATATTACATCCTTTTAAAATAAAAGTTTTAACAAGCAAAAAATGTGTCAGTCGTTTCAACATGTAGAACCTAAGTGTGGTGGTAGGCATAGATTTCTGATATATGTGAAGTATTTTACAAGCACCATTCTGAATTTCCTAAAACAATTGTGGGGGCCTGAACAAAGAAATCCACTGGGATTCTGACTTCTGAAAAATTTAGAGTAGCTTCCTCCTGAAAGATTACTTCAGAAGATACAGGGATATCACCTGTAGAATCTTAAATGAAAGTGAGTGAAAACTTACTTTAGACAAAATTGTAGGTCTGCCAAAGGTTTCAGTAAATCTAAAAAGAGAACCTCTTAGAAGCAGTGGTGGGTTTTTTTCTCAATTTAGGGATTTTAGTATCTAACAAACAAACCCTAACACCTCGAGAGAGGTGGCCTGGGACCAGAAACTCTGTCAAGGAATTAAGTTGTGAAATAATTTTAAGGTCAATGCAAACTAGAGTAAACCTCTGAAATCTTACATGGATTAATGCCACAACTATACTTTTATCTCTTTAATGTATGCTTAAAATGGCCAGTTGTCTAGAGTCAGTGTTGTTTAAATCTGGTCTTGTATTAACTTATCAGGTGAACAGGCTTCCCTTTCTATCCTGTAATGAAAATGTGCTTTCAGCCATTCAATTTTTGCATGATTGTTGTGCCATAAATATTCCTTGTACTTTAGAAATCAGAAACTAAGATGCAGTTCTTGCCTGGAAGAGTTTAACTGACCTGTACAGGATAAAAACAGGATAGTAGTTTATGCATAGGATAATGTGGAAAGATCATTAATGAGAAGACCAAAATAAAGACTGAAAAACTGAATGTGGGTTTTCAAGTGTAGTAATATACTAAGAATTAACACTTTCTTCTCATGCCTTTTCAAACTTTTGTAAAATCCACTAGCTTTTATAAAATCAGTCAAATGTCTTACAGGTACCCAGGGAAATTAGTAATGCTTTTATTTTACAAATGGCAAAATTGGGACATAACTTTATTGGGACCAGTATTTTACTTGTATAGTTGTAGTGATTTGCCTACGGCTACATTTTGCATCAGTCACTGAATTTTATGATTCGGTGTTCTGACTCCCAACTCTAGCCATGTGCAGTCCAACAGACCTCAGGTCCTCTCTATTTTAAGGATTTGAAGATGAGAGAAGATATGGAGTCAAACTGAGGAGAAGTGTTCAAGTAGTTGGGACAGCATAAATAAAGTAGGAGACATTATTTAAAAGAATTAAGAGGATCATAAGGAGGAGCAGGGAAGAAAAGGAATTGAAAGAGGAGGACAAGCAGTTAACTGTTATGTGATTGGCTACACAGACACACTCAAGAAAGTTAATCTAACTTAAATACAGGAGTGAATTTAAAGTGGTTACTCACATTTTGTTAAACCCCTCTATAGATACTCTCATTCAGAATTTAAAGTTACCTTGATTCAAAGGTAAAGTTTCACTGCCAAAGTAAATGTGGTTGAACTATCATAGGCACTTAGACTTTTTAGGCACGTACAGGAGGGACTTTGGACAGAGTGTAGGAAAAAGTAGTATTTCAGAGCAATATTTTAGTGAGGGCAGAGAATGGAAGTTACACTAAGGGCAGAAGATTTGACAAAGTTGCAGTCCTGATGAACAGGACATAGTGTAATTGTCAATTTTGATGTGGAGAAATTAGGAGGAAAGAAGTTCAAATATGGGGGTGGGGAAGTAAATTTGAAATACTGGTAGCACATCAGAGAGAACTGACAACTGAATAAATCATTAATGACCTCCAGCCCCTCCTGGAAAACGATGACCATAGGGAACAAGTCTGTCCTGGTTCACCAGCAGCCTCCAACTTCAAATGATGGCTCTCTAGCAACAATTTTTACCAAGCACCAGGTCACAAATCCAGATGCCAGCAGTTTATCAACACACAGTCTGGACTTCTATCATCAGTGCACCAAATACACAAAATAGAACATCTGGTACTTATTCACTTGTTCCTCTACCACTATAAAATATGCCATCACTTGCTTACAATGCTTTCCTGCTGTCTACGTTGTCCAGAATGGGAAATCCCTACATAAAAGAATTAATGGCAGTTGAGTTCACATCTATTCCAGAAACATACAAACATGTGTGGCAGAGCCCTCTAACCTCCCTGGACATGCCATCACTGACCTCAGAATAGCTGTGCTCAAACAAAAAACAAAATAAAACTGAAAAACAACTCGAATTAGAACTTGTGAAAGAAGAAATCATCCACAGACTGGGTTGTGTTAAACATGGTCTTAACAGAGATTTCATTACCTAGAATAGTTATTAACTCTAGCTGTTTATTCCAATATCCTTCAGTGTGTTAATTGCCTTGTTTATCACTATTGACCTTTTGCTTCTCTCAGCAGTATCCCTCCCCCACTCATTTGTATTTAAATTCCTCTCTATTTTAAACCCTTTTTTCCTCAAGTTCATTCATAGCATCTAATCAAGTAGGCTGCTGCATACAGAAGCTCATTCCTCTGAACCAGTTAGGTAAATGTGGCACCATAGAGACTGCCTTCTGCCATATTGGAGGAATGAGACTAATGAAGGACAGAGATGGATTTGACATAATTAGCCTAGGTGTGATGGCTTAGCTGGGTGGAGAGGAGGGGTGGGGATGGATCTGGTTGCCTAGGACATGAGTATAGATACAGAAGAGTAGAGACAATATAGTTAGGGATTTAGGAGAGCATGGGAACCCTTCAGAAGTGATTTGGGCACTCGGCATTGTAGGAGGAGAGCTAGCAGAGTGTAGAATTTTGGAAGTCTACAGGATGTAATGATGATTAGTTGCTGAGGGAACAGATGTATCCAGTAGAACAAGAGTAGAGTAATGCCACAGTGTTGCTGTTAGAAAAAGCTTATTCAACATATTTTAAATCACTTTAGAAGCAAGAACACAATATGTAGATTAAGAACCATGAAGATGCTGAGAGAAGCTGAAGGAGGTAAGCACAAGAATCCTAGAGACAGTAGAGAGGAAGCCAAGGTGGAGAGACGCTGGGTGGAAATGGAGAGATTTTTCTCTGGATAGAGGAGATAGGCATTCTTACAAGACTAATCCTATGATAAACTTTTAGATATTGTATGGTATACTTTAGGTCTCTTATAAATTAACTGTAATGTCTTGAATTGAATGTTTTTTTGGTTATGAAGGTTGATTTGTGCCCTGGAATTCGACATTTGAGTGAAATGCACAGCTTTCTGATAGGACACACATTTAATTTCTGTACTTAAACTCTTAATTTTGTTGTTGTTGCTGCATCTGTTTTTATAACTTTCTAAGTTGTTTTTACTGTTCTTTTCATCCCTTGGCCTTTCCCCATCATTCAGCACACTTTAATCATCTCTTTCTGAGATGAAAATTCAACTTCTCCAAAAGATTTAACTTCTTCCTCCACAGGGGGCTATCCCATAGCAGTAATCTGTCACTTCGCTTCATCCTCTTTTGTCTACTTCTTACACTGATATTAGTATACTTTTTGAAGGGCCTGCAGAGCTGGATTATATGGCTTTGATGGGGATCCATCAAAGTTCTCACAATGCCAGGTTTCTTTTCAGCACCCAGATCATTGCCAAGCACCTAGGCAAAAGCAGCGGTGCTGGAAACCCAGCAGCTATGCAGGAAGAAGCCTGGCATTATGGGCACTTGACTACTAGGGCTGTGGAAAGCTTTGGATGCTGATTCGATTTGGTGGAGATTCGGTGGCCGAATCTCCAAATCCAAATCAAATCAAATCAGGAGACCAATAAAAATGTCTGAATTGATTCGAAAAAGATTTGGAGAGGTTTGGAGAGATTTGGGCAGTCGCCGCTACTCCGCTGCAGGGAGCTGGACCTGAATGCGGAGCTGGTAAGTAGGGGACAGGGGAGAGGGGCCTGGCGGAAAGGGGAGGGGGCCATGGGGGGACCCCCACCAGGCCCTATCGCCTGCCTGCTCCTCTAGCCCCCCTGAGCGTCCCCCTACTCACCAGCTCCTGCCAGGCGGGGGGTGATCCCCACTGCCCCTCACTGGGGGATGGGGGGCTCTGTCACAAGTCCCCATCCGTTGCCCACTCTGTTTACCATATCCCCCTTTAGGCTTCTCTTCTCCAGGCTAAGTAGTCCTAGTTCTTCCAGCTTTTTCTGTCATGCTTCCTTTTGTTTGATCACACATGCAGGATCAGGCAGAGATGGCTACATACACAATATGTCTTGTAACTTAATCACAGCTCTACTGTGGTGCTTCAGCAGATTCTTCCATCATTCAGTTTTGCTGCACTTGGTACTGTAAATGAAAGTGCAGTGCTTTCAGGAATTTTACAGTGGCTAAAAAAGGGGCGGTCAGTTACTTTGGGCAGAGGGCTGCTTACTGAGTTTTGGCAGGCCATCGAGGGCCGCATGACATGCAGCCAGGAGCAGATAAATATTAATTTTCTCAATTTTTTAGGGGTCCCGTGGGCTGCATTTTGCCCACCCCTGGGCTAGTTCCACCTCTGCAGGGAGTTACAGTTGTATGGGTACTTACCATGACTCTTTCCTGGTTTTTCAGTAGTTTGAGTTCAAAATACCTTAACTTTTCATTTCCTAGTTATCAGAAGTTTGAGTTTTGCTGAAAGTTTCATTCTGGAAAGATATGAGATATTTTTACTTGGAAAGTTTAACTTTGTATTAACAGCTTTTTGCGTGGTCGTTCTAATATATAACATGCCTTTGATAGGGCTTTGCAAGAGTATCAGGTGCACAATTCATATTCAAACTGTTTGATTTTTATAACAGCCTGAAAATTTTGCTTTTTCAGAGGTTTTAAGAACCTCTGTAGCATAGAGTTCTTATTGAATTCACTTAATGTTTGAAGTCATGAAAAGGAGGATCTGCTCAAAGACCTACTGGAGCTGTAGAATTATGCTCTAAAATTGAAGCATTTTTATTGCTTTTTTGCCTAATGAAGAGAGTAATAGCTTACGTCTCTAATGGTGGGTCATTAATAGGAGACTTTGCAGTACTATGGAGTTTGTTCAGTGATGTTGATTTAAAGAGCAGAAAAATAATTATGAACATCTATAATAAGCTGTAGTTGGATGTCTGAGCTGTAACAGGAATTATCATTTTCTCAGTATTTTAAAATAAGTATAAGCTAAAGTATTTTCTTGATTTATTCTATCAATTTCTTTAAAAATAATTTAAAAATATGAACCAGTTACTGAAGTTGAAAGTTCAATTATGTTTTTCTCTACTAGTCACAGGTTAGTTTTAAAGCTGCCAAGGAAAGCCTTTAGAGTCTTGAACCTGCCATGCCCATCTCCACTTATAGAAGGGCATCAAAATATTGTTGCCCTATTAAAGATTGAATATTACTCAAAAGCTTGCAATGTGGGAGGTATTTGAAAGTACATTTAATAACAGTTTATTAAATACAATGTGAAGTTTCAGATAAAAAAGTAGTTTCAGTTTGGATTTGCACAATTGATTTCATTATTCTTTTTTGGTTGAGCCAGTTCTGATTGTTTGCTAATTTTGTGTTAGGAGGTGTTTTACAGACAAATATAGAAACAGTTTCTCTCATGAAAGGCTTGTGGGCCAAGTGAGTGATGGCTGATGTCTGGTATATATTTTGTTTGTGAATGCTAGCCAGAGGGGTGGACTAACATCCAGGCACTGAGGAAAAAGTGTACTTTTAGGAGGAACTTGGACTTGAGATTGGAGAGAAACCAGACCAAGGAGAAGTTTCATGGAAGACAGCCTGGTAGCAGGGAACCCTGAGTTATGAGACTGAATGGAGAACATTCTTTCAGACCTTTTTCCCTCACTGTTTTCTTTCTTACTTCAATTACAGGCCTTTTCCCTGATGTAGGCGGAGGCTATTTCTTGCCAAGACTTTCAGGGAGGATTGGCTATTACCTTGCTCTTACAGGATTTCGGTTAAAAGGAAGAGATGTGCAAAAAGCAGGAATTGCTACACACTTTGTAGAATCAGAAAAGGTAAATATGTCACCCATTACCATTGATAACTGGTCAGAGTGCATAACCCACAATGAAGACAACAGGATGGTCTTGATTAAGTTTTGGTATGTGCATTTCTTGATGGTTCTATTGAATGAATTAATATTCAGTTATTTTTAACAAATGGACAGTTTTCTTCTTGTGCAGTCCTAGGATTTACCCATTTACTTCTTTAAGTAGAAGCAAAAAGACACTAATGAGTCTAGTTCATACTGGACTGTGAGTGCTTCCAGAATGTCATTATGGCGCCTGCCAGCTGATGGCATCCTAGCCTTGGTCTATCTTGACACTTGTGCTGTTGATAAAAGACAGCATTGGGCAAAGGTGAGGCCACTAGGACAAAAATGTTATAACTTATCTATCTCCATCCTTATTAATTTGCTGCCATTGGCAGTGGACATTTTGTAAGGAGGCTTAGGCCATAACATTTGAAAAATGTAGTTCTGTCCACACAGCTGTAATATAAATAGTAGGGCTGTGCGAAGATGTTATTTACTTAAATTTTAAAAAGGCCTTTGACACCGTGTCGCACCCAATTCTTATAAATAAACTGAACAGTTGCAGTGTAGATTATTACACGGTTCGGTGGATGGAAAATTACGGGACGCAACCCAAATGGGTTGCTTTCTAGCTGAAGAAATGTGGGAAGTGGAGTCCCTCAAGGCTCTGTCCTGGGACCAGTACTGTGCAATATCTTCATTAGTGACTTGGACGAGGGAGTAGAAAGCACCCCGTCGAAGTTTGCAGATGACACGAAACTATGTGGGAGGTACACAAACTAGAGGGCAAGGGGCAAATCCAGGTGAATTTGGACAGGCTGGGGAAGTGGGCGGAACAGAATAGGATGCAGTTTAACAAAGATAAGTATCATGTGTTGCACCTAGGGAGGAAGAAGCATCAACACTCCTATAGCCTGGGAGGTACCATTCTAAGTAGCACAACTGCAGAAAGGGATCTTGGAGTCATAGTTGACTCCAAACTGAACATGAGTCACCAATGTGATGAAGTAATAAGTAAAGCTAACTGCACTCTTTCTTGCAGAAGTAGGTGCATCACAAGCAGGGCTAGGGAGGTGATACTACCCCTCTGTGCACCATTGGTCAGGCTGCAGCTGGAGTACTGAGTCCAGTTTTGGGTGCTGCACAGGGTTCAGAGGAGGGCCACTTGTCTGTTTAAAGGCCTACATAAAAAATCCTACAAGGACCAGTTGAGGGACCTGAACCTCTTCAGCCTCCGCAAGAGAAGGCTGAAAGGTAATCTTGTGGCAGTCTACAAACTCATCAGGGAGGGACATCAGGAAATAGGGGATACGATGTTTACCAGAGCACCCATCGGGATAACTAGAAACAATGGCCACAAACTGGAGGAGAACAAATTTAGACTGGATATCAGCAAAAAATTCTTTACAGTGAGGGTTGCCAAAATATGGAATACGCTTCCAAGGGAGGCAGTGCTGTCCCCTTCCTTGGAGGTATTTAAGAGGAGATTGGACAGACATCTGGCTAGGGTCATCTGACCCCAGCACTCTTTTCTGTCTAGGGCAGGGGGTTGGACTTGATGATCTAATAGGTCTCTTCTGATCCTAAAATCTATTAAATCTATGAAAGGGCAAAGAAAAGTAGAATTTTTCGATTTGGTGGAGATTCAGCCCGATTCTGTGGCTGAATCTCCAAATCTGAATCAAATCAGAGGAGCCTTTAATCTCTCCAAATCGAATTGGAATTGATTCAGAGAGATTCGGAAAGTTTCAGCGATTCAGACATAGACACAGCTTTAAATGTTTTTTCTACATGCCTCAAGGTAGCAGGTGGCTCATGAATGCTCTGGTTCTGGGGCACATGGAGCATCCCACAGGAGTGCAGGCAGCAGACCCGAAAGTGGACCAGAAGCACTTCCGGCCCACTTCCAGGTCCGCTGGGGAGCGTGCTCGGGGGCCCCCCTGCACCTCCATGGCTTGGTGACTGGTGCCTCCTGAGTCTAGGGGCGGGCAACTGGGATCCCCCTGCGGCCAACTGCCAAGCTGCTGGTTCTGGGGCACATGGAGCATCCCACAGGAGTGCAGGCAGCAGACCCGAAAGTGGACCAGAAGCACTTCCGGCCCACTTCCAGGTCCGCTGGGGAGCGTGCTCGGGGGCCCCCCTGCACCTCCATGGCTTGGTGACTGGTGCCTCCTGAGTCTAGGGGCGGGCAACTGGGATCCCCCTGCGGCCAACTGCCAAGCTGGGGAGGCACAGGGGGGCCCCCCAGCACACTCCCTGACAGACCCAGAAGAGGACTGGGAGTATTTCCGGTCCCCTTTTGGGTTTGCTGCCAGGCACATGGAGGGTCCCCTTGCACTCCTGTGGGATGCTCCATGCGCCCCAGCATCACAGTGATCATGAGCCACGCCTACTACCTCAAGGTATATAGAAAAGACTTTTAAAGCTGTCTCTGTCCAAATTGCTGATTCTCCAAATCAGCACTGAACTATCAGATTTGGATTTGGACGAATCAAATCGGGGACAGTGATCCAAATCAACAAATCGAATCACTGTCCCTGATTCGGGCTGAATCTGAATCAAATAGGGTCCGCCTTGCACACACTTAATAAATAGCATGATATATATGAAGTTCCGTATATATTCCATATATGTACTAGTAATACATCTTGTAAAAATCACGATATAAAACATTGCAGGAGTAGATTCTGATTTTAGCTAGTTTTACACTTGTAATTCCCTTGACTTCAATAGCATTCTTCCTGATTTGCCCATATGTAAGTTATACCGGAGTCTGAATCAAACACTTGTCTGCTACAAGAAAGATAGCTTTTTTTTCTTTCACCTCCATGAAATGTCTGAAGGTTTATTTACATGGGTATGATTTACCGATTATAGCTGTATAGGTAAAGTAGTACAGCTGTATCAGTAGAATTCCTTGTTTCAGCCCTCGTATTCAAGGATAGGGCTAGCTTTTTTCTTCCAGTTTAATTTAAACCACTTTTAAAGCAAAAAAGCCAATCTGGGAAAAGTCATTCAAACTGAAGTAAATGTGCCCACACAGAGCATTTTACCAGTATAATTGGAGCAGTTTAAATTTACACCTTTAACTTATCTTGTATAATTTTCAGAAGTAAAGAAGCT